CGGGGGCGTTATCACTCTGATGCAATAGTTCGAGAAGACAGAATTAGTCTTCGAGGTCTGTGCATGTCCCGAAGCAAGCAAGGTCAAATATGCAGCTTGCACTTTCTCTGGCCGAGCCCTTACTTGGTGGAAAATCCACGTTAAGTCACTGACGCTTGCAGTGGCTAACTCGTTAAGCTCGGAAGACTTAAAGACGCTGATGATGAAAGAGTACTGCCCAAGGGGCGAAGTACAAAAACTAGAGCAAGAACTGTGGAATCTCAAGATGACAGGCTCTGAGCTTGCAACTTACACCGACCGATTCTGTGATCTAGCACTCCTTTGTCCCGCGATGGTCACTCCTGAGGAAAAGAAGGTGGAATGATACCTCTGGGGATTGTCTCCCCAAATTCAAGATAGCGTGTTGGCTTCAAGACCAACTACCTTTGACAGTGCCAAGGAGTTGTCACAACAACTCATCGACCACAGGGGCAGCCATGGCACTATGACAACCACCCCTGAGAAAGATGGCAAGGGAAACAATAAAAGGAAGTCTTGGGACAACGAGAAGAATCAATCAGCCCAAGACCCCACAAATAAGCATCAGATCGTCAATGTTCATGCTGCCACAACCCATGCCACTCCCTCACCCATAAATCGATACGTTGGAACCCTTCCGAAATGTAACAAGTGTAGCTTCCATCACACTGGGGCTTGCAGGGAATTGCATTGCATGAATTGCAACAGGAAGGGACACACTACCCGTTTCCGTAAGGCACCGGTACGACCCATCAACTAGGTCCCCAGCATTGGAGCAAGCCCAACTTGTTACGAGTGCTATGAAACGGGACACTTTAAGAAAGACTGTCCAAGGATAAGGAATGCTGGTGACGGTGGAAGGGTACTTATGATCACCGCAGGAGAAACTTCCCCAGAACCACTCGTGAATAATGGCACGCGCTCCTAACCATCACATGTAGGATTTGAATTTTACTAAAACTAGTGTCAATTTAGGGCTTATCAACCATAAACCTCACGAGCACGACGAACCCGAATAAGTCTTATCATGTATATATAAAAACATAGGGTTTTTACTAGTGAATTTATGATGGCTAGTGTAAACGTTGTGGCCATATATCATTAATATTCTATGGACTTAGAATGTATAATTCCACCTTACTTCCTGTTCCTTGTTTGGTTGTGGGCTTAAGGCGGAGTCACTCATTCGACTGCCCTTGCAATCTTAATGATATAGGACTAGATTACACAAAGCGATTATAGAAGAACTGGTAGGACTTATACTACAACTTTCGTCATAAGTTGTCAAAACACACGTGCTGCTAATACTCACTAACTACAACCTGGAATTTTCGTAGTTTTAACAACAAGGATAAAACAGAGAACTTAAAGACATACATAGAATGCACTATCATTATGAAACAATCACTCCTTTTAAATCGACTTATCTCTAATTACAATAAGAAATTCCAAGTCGTCGTTTAACATAAGGTGGATTGGTCCTCGCCATATCAAATTCTTGTACTCCGAAAAGTACCCACATCTTTGCCCCAAATTCTTGAAGTCCCAGTCGAAACACTAATTTCGGGACGAAATTCTTTCTAACGGGGGGATGATGTGACATTCGTTAATTTTTGGTCAAGTCAAAGTCAACCTAAGTCAAGAAGTCAAACCGGTCAACTCATCTAACCCTTGTATATTAGGGTTTCCATTATGATCCTTATTGTACAACTCGCAATCTTAATACAAAGTATCACTAAGAGTTTTCACGTGTTCGGAAATTCTAAACCCTAATCAGGGTAAGTGATGAATCTACTCGATAAAACATTATTCCATACCCCTCGGGAGCGTATAACAATCGTAACAAGGCTTAACGGGGTGTACGAACCTTGCGTTACGAAGCCAAACACTCAAAAAATGTCACAAACATAGTCTCTCTCAATCTCTTTCACTTTATCTCTCTCTATTAAAAATCTCTCCCAAATCTCTCTCAAAACTCCCTTGAACTTTTTATAGTCTTTCGAGTCATCCCGACCCTTAACCGGGTCAAAAACCGCTTGAAACGGGGTAATATTTGGTAAAACAGCCTTAATAGACCGAAGCCTCCCTTTAGGAAGCGAACCCTAAAGGAACCGAAACTAGCCTCTTAGAACCGAACCCGAAGCAGCTGAACCGAAACCACCAGGACCGAACCAAAAGGTCCCTTCGGACCGAACCTCCTCTCGGTCTATTTCGCTCCTCGCCCAGGTTCGCTTCTGACACTTCGCCTTCGCTCCCTTTCAGTCCTAGCCTCAGAAGCCACTTCGGTCCCCACCTCCTTAGGACCGAAACTTGCCACCTTCGGTTTCCCAATGCGAGAAGCCTTGCAGGTTCGCCATTTTCACCCGGTTTTCGACTAGTTTTGCGTTTTAAGCCCGATTTTAATTATTTTAAAACGGGATTTTCACCCAAAATAATATTTTAACATATAACACCCCATATTTCATAATTAATCACGTTTTTGGGGTATAATCCTTATCCAAGAAGAGTGGGTGGGATATTATTGGTGGAGTGTTGACTTTGCTTTAGTGTATGACACAAGCAACCACCCCATGCCCACTCCATGACCAACCCTTGTCCTTCCACCATACCTAGTCACTTCCATCGTCCTTCCCATCATTTTCTTCCAGCCATACACTTGAATAAAAGGTAGAATCATTATCTTTCCTCTCTCATTTCTCTCATTTTCCACCAAAGAACAAACACCTTTCTCTCTCACTTCTCTCTCTCTCTCTCTCTCTCTCTCTTAAATTCGAGGTTCAAGGGTTGATCATCAAGTTTTCTTCCACTTTTGGCAGGTGATATTATCCTCCTTATGATTATTTCACTTCCTTCTACCCAAATCATAGATTACTTACACAAATTCCATCACATTTTTGTTAGATCTTCGAACCTTCAAGGCATCTTCTAAGTGTTCTTGAGTTGAACACTTATTTTCTTCAACATCCATCCACTAAGAACACACAAGGTGAGTTAATACCCCTATGTTTTCATGTTTTCTTAAGTTTTAAGGGGGGGAATACAAGTTAAAACACCAAGAACACAACTAAACTTTTCCAACAGCTTTCATCAGGAAAGTGTAACTCCATTCACGGACTGTTTTGGACAACTTAAACATTTTAGTTTTCCAAACTGTACTAGGTGCAAATATTTCAGATCCATACCTTTAAAATGGCTACTTTCACATCTCCATATGATTTTTCTACGATTTATGGTGATTTTTACAAAACTACCTATCATTTCAAGAACAAATCCGGACCAGTCTGTGATTATGGACGTTTTCACACAAGTTGGAGGTCACTAAAAATCATTAGAAAATTTATGAACAAACTAGACATATTTTATGAACTCTCAGAATTTACGGATTTTGATTTAGACCTTTGATGATTTTTTTATAAATTTTCTAAGAACAGGAATAGAAATGTTATCACTAGAAAAATGCCATCAATTTCATTCACACCTTGTAACTTGTTGAGCAAGGTGTGTATCATTATGTGATTTTATATTATTACATTATATGTCATTTTGTCTTGGTATGTAGACATAAATCAGAAAACAAATGGGTTTTTACTATATTAATTATGGTGAAATAATAAATTGTCATAAACAAAGTTTACATCTGTTACATACAAACATTTGGTAAACCATGACAAGGATAGTACCAATTGAATACATGTGAATGATAATACATATTATTTACCTTATCTTGAAGGTATGAATCATATACCAAGGTTTGCCACGACTACAAGTAATTACAATAAACTATAATAAGTATACACTACCAACAAATACGCTAACTATAGTAGGTATAGTTAGGTTGCATTACATTACAAACAATATGATAACCTATAATAGGTATAATTTATGTTCTCTACCACCACCACTTTTGGATAAACTATAATATGCATAATTCATGTTCACTATCACTACCACTATTTGGTGAATTATGATATGCATAGTTTATGTTCACTACCACTACCACTATTTGATAAACTATAATATGCATAATTCATGTTCACTATCACTACCACTATTTGGTGAATTATGATATGTATAGTTTATGTTCACTACCACTACCACTACTTGATGAACTATGATCGGCATAGTCTCGGTCTTTGGCTTTTAAGACTACATTCTATCTAGAATTGTTAGTTTCCAGCCATAATTACTAAGTGTATATGCAAGGGTTATATAGAATTTAGTCGTGATCGACTTAGAACTGGTGGGTCCGCTTTATTTCATGTTCCTTGTTTGGTTGTGGGCCTAGGGCAGACCCATTACATTCGACGGTCTATTTAACTTTAATTTTATATAACTTATATACACTTAGAAATTATAGAAGGAAACTATAGGAAATTCTAGGATGCACTATTTTATAACATAGAAACTTTGAATTCACTCTTTAAGGAAAATATCGGATTTTCTGGAACAACTTTATCGCTTTTACAAAGGAAAACAGTTTCGTTTCAAAATAAAACTCTTATGAACTCACCAACTTAATTGTTGACACTTTTTCAAAACTACTTGTATTCTCAGGATTTCAGTGAGCAGGTAATGTTCAGCTTTGAAGACAGGGACGCTAAGGCGTTAAGTTCAAAACATATTTTGTCATCATGATGTAATTGATTTTGAAAACATGTAAACACATACTACGATGTAGCTTTTTCAATTATATTGATGATGGTTGTGTTTGCTTTCTTCACTATTATATTCATTGTTATGATACTGCCCAAGAAGTCATCCGCCCCCGAACGTTTCCGTCGTTCTGGTTTGGGGGTGTGACAATATAATTTGACATTATATTGTATTTAATTTATCTTCACATCTCTCAAAAACAACTTTCCTGTTTGATGTCTTATGCATGTTTTCCCGAGAGTATAGCAGACACATGATCATGGAGTGCAGCTTCCCCACCAACAGATGAGCATGTAGTAGATGGTGCTTCTAACCCTACCGACACCCCAATGATGATCGTGGTTTCTGAGGAGGATCCTACAGAGGAGAATGATGACACCGAGCCTGACTATACTCCAGCCGAGCACTCGTCCGAGCCGGACTACAGTCCAGCTGATCACTTCAGCTTGGACCCTTCCAAGCCCCTTTATTCACCAGTCTACACACTAGCTGGACTTGAGTTTCTCAGCTCAAATTATGAGCTGGATGAGGACAAGGAGTATAATGCCACCTCGCTTGAGATCTTACCACCCCGCCCCACTCTTTCACATCGATATTTCAGAGCATACACTACTGGTACTTGGGTGAAACAAACCCCAAGAAAGACTATTGTCATCCCATATCGAAAGAGAGCAGGATCCCCACCAGCATCACCACCGCCATCAAAGAAACCGTGAGGAAACTACACATGGATGACCCATATTAGAACTTGGAGACATTAGGAGGATATCGGATCATGCTTCGAGGTAACAGAGTCCTCTACCACACCTACCCCAACCTGATACACTTCAATCGAGCATGTTATCTCTTTCCATGTACCATAGACTGTCATCACTCATATCATATAGGAGCGATGGACTGCGAGCTCTTTTTTTTAGGATGACCTTGAGTCAAATAACAAAATGGGTACAGTATCTTGAGTATGAGGCGAATGTGATGGAGATGATGACTTTACTTACTCGAGACCAGTTACAGGAGGCAAGGGATGAGTCTAAGTTTCATCATCAGGTGTTGGTGGACGTGGTCAGTCACACCGACACACTGGAGCTTCTAGTAGATAAGGAAGAGTCGAGGATTTCATTTTTAGATATTTGGATAGAGTATGTTTATAGGCAAGTAGTACAATTGATGACATTTTTGAGTTTACTGTTGATATTAGGCTTTTCCCTAATATGATGGATAAGATGAATACGTATATACCTTTGGGATAGTGTACTAGAAAAGCTCGATAAACGTACTTGTTTATTTCGTAACCTCAAAGCTTTTCTTACACTAAACATCCTTTTTTGATGATCACATTGTAAGATATTATGATACATATTGTAACATTCAAATTTTTCTTAAGGTATATGTTAGAACAAGGATATGATGCGCAGGGACAAGGTTTGAAAACCCAAACCTTGAGTTAATGCTTAAGATCAATATCTACTTGTAATTAAATGTTCCAGTCAAGTCTGGTAACACCAGTTAATACTTGAAGTAAGAATTCAACAAAGTACTCAAGTAATAAATGAAGAAGTATGAGTATAATCAAGGGAAAAACAATAAATGAACAAGAAGAATGTTTTGAAAGAGTTTGATTTGAGAGAAAAATGAAAGTGAGTTAATACGAGAATATGCTATCTTTGGAAGAACAATCCACACTATTCTTGTCATTAAACTACTCCTTATAAAGTAAAAGGAGTGACATCGTACAAACTGAGATGTATACAAAGGACTAGATAATCGCACTACTTCTGAAACTCTGATTATCCAAATTGACAGAAAGACTTAGTCCTATGTATAGTTACATCATAGAAATAGACAAGAATAATAAATGCACGATCAGACACTCAATCTCGTATTATTTCTTCATCTCGGAACAACTCTACTTCTGACTGAAACTCCACCTCTAACCATAAGATTATCTCGTACCATTCCACATCTCGAACTCAAGACTGACTTCGGATATTCATATTATGATTGCTAAAGGTTCACTTTCAGGTTCCAATATCTCCCCCTAAGTGAACTTAGCAATCAAGTCACCTCAGTTTGAATCTTCCTTGATGAACACATACGCCATGTACAACCAATCTATGACTGCTATATACCATTGAAGTTAACTTATGAACTTTGCCTTTACATGCTCTGGAGCTTCTGACTTTGATGCATGATTGATGAATTTTTGTAGAGCTTTGTTAGGAACTATATTCTTTTCAAGGACTCGGAAGAAGTCCTTCTTGTTCGTCTTATTTTTCATGTAATAAAACCCTAGCACCGACTCACCAATTGGTCCTTCGGCTAATAAGTTGGCTTCTACAAGTTTAAAATCAATCTTGTCTAAGAGCTTCTATGTTCCGAACAGGTGAGCTAACTCAAAGTCACATTTGCAAAATTCCGCGACATAATCTTTAAGAAAGCTCAAGTCCGCACGGTAAGCACCGATGGTGAGATCATCGTTTTAATGGCTTCGGAAGTGCGATGTAATTGTCAGGATGTCGTTGGGATTGAATGATAGGAAATCGGCGTCTGTGATAGTGAATTGAGTTGGTTTGTTTCGAAAGATGTGGTATCGGTACATCATACAGTTTAGATCAAACTTGGCTAAAACTTTCCTTCCACACCCAGAGATCTTGGTAATTTTCTTCCAAGACCATACTTCTTATTTTAGGAAGTGCGTTCTTGGAGTAGAAGGTTTTCAGGCGTTCACGTTCAGTTCTAATGATCATTTGAGGATCATGTTCCGGGTGGAGAGGTGCAAATTTGGTGTAGAACCTTCCATATAGAGATATGGGTAGATCAGTCTGGTTCAAATCTTGATCTGGTAAGTCATAATACATAAATGGCACTATGTACACGTCATGTATTATTCCTTCCCGAAAAAGAGGTGAAGCCCTAGCATCGGATGAGGATTGTCTTTGAGGGCTTGGATTCTGATGCTTTCCTCGAGGGCTTGTTCTATTCCAGCGTGAGAGCAACCAAATTTTTGTTTTGGAGGAGGTTTGGAGTGGAGGACTTCTTAAATGGGCTTTTTGCCTTTGTTCTTGGGGCTTCTTGAGTGCCGAGATGATGTGTTTGCATGTTTTCATAAATAACAAATTTTGGAGGAGAGGAAACAAGGGGCTCTTCGGAATATCATCAGGCTTCCGAAAAGCAGAGCCTTCATTTTGGTGGCTCGGAAGGCGTCAACTGTTAGTTTGGTTTTATCCTTAGCCACTTCACGACTTATTTGAAGTACATTAGCCAGAGTTGATGGTCGTAAGACTGTCGACCATATTCGTTGCTCTTCCTCGGAAAGCTCTTTGGCTGGGAAATTCTTTGGAGCTGGAACCCTTATGATTGCATTGGTGATATACTTATCTTCTTCATCCTCATCATCAACGTCATCGTTATCTGGAGAACCAGTAAGAACTTGCACAGAATCATCGGAGTCTTTATCTCGGAGTCTGACTCTAAGACAAGTATTTAGGAGATGGATTGGTGTCACACCACGCTAAAGCAGAAATACGGGATGTGGCAGTACAAAGGGTTTCATAGAAAAAGTTAAAAGACAACACCAACCATACTATTAAAAAGAATTACAATGTACAATGACTTTGAACAACTTTTTAAAATAGATTACAATGTATTTGAAAGATAACACATGCAAATGCTCCTACAAGTGTTGTGTCTCTATGTGCCTTTTACTAGATGATTCCTGAAAAAGCATGTAAAACGAGCGTCAACTATAAAAATAGTTTGTGAGTACTCACATGTTTATAACATAATAAAGTTTGAAGTCATGAAAATCAGCATATTGATAACGGTTTCCATAAACAAATGTTCATTACTAAATAAGTAAATAAGTTTTCATGAATAGAAGCTCGTTGGTAAAACAAGTAATAAAGTTTCCATAAATAGAAGTTTGTTGCTAATATGAGAAACAAAGTTCGTTACTCAAATGAGTAAACAGGTTCACTGCAACAAAGAGCAAACAAGTTCGTTGCTACAAAGAGCAACCAAGTTCATTGCTAAGACAAGCAAATAAGTTTCCAGTAATAAAAGTTTGTTGCTATGGTGAGAAACAAAGTTCGTTGCTATAATAAGTAAGCTAGTTTCGTATGTATATCAGCAAACAATTAGTTCTTAACCAAGCATATGACTGATGCCCTATCAAGATCTATGTTTATCGTTCCATAAATTAATATGGTATCATGCACTCCAGCAATCGGGCGAGTGAGGAGTTGTCAATTCCTAATAGCACTATCCATAATTACCATTAGCTCAAAGAGTTAATGGTTGGAGTAAAGTGTAAGGGAAGGGACTTAAGATGATAAGGCCTCATGTTTCTAGTTTCATAGACATACATAGCAAAATATAGCAATCATGTTTGATACAAATCAATTTAAATAAAACGAACAATAAATAGTTTTTCGGACATGCTTTTCCACCCGAAAACATAAAAACTGAAAATAGGGGGATGCATAAATACTCACAATGCATTGAGATGATGCAAATCATGCCTTGAACTACGTTCCACTTGTACCACTATCGATTCCTATAATGATGTTACATGCTAATGAGTCTCTAATCGAAATCTAATACTAGTATACTTACTACTACAACATAATTATGTCAATATTGTGTCAAAATTTAATATTTTTAAGTTACAAACATCTTTCTATGAAATTTAGATTTCTATGAATCAATTTGTTGTATAACAAATTTAAGTGAAAAATCCCATTTTTAGCAATGTCAATTGAAGTGTAACTATAATTTTGGAAAGTGTTTCAAATGGTTAAATATTTAAAACTAAATCAAATAAGTTATAAAATTTCCCAAACTTTGTGTTTCAGTTTTAACTAAAGTCAAAGACATTAAAATAAATTTTCTTGAATTTTTGATTGGTCTAACTATTTTTCACCAATTTAATTCCTTGAAAACATAATAAAATTTGGGGAAAATAGTAAATGATCATGGAAAATTATTATATTTGTTGTGTTACTGCTTCATAATGTCCTTAAACTGGGAAAATTATTAAATGCCAGTTATGATAAAAAAAAACCCGGTTTTATAATTTAATAATCTTTTGCAACCAAGAAATTTTAATTAAATACAAAACAGTAGTAAAAAATCACCAAGCTTTTAATTTTGTGTTCCAACTGAAGTTAAGGACTTCCATAAAATTTTACATGAATTTTATATATGTATAGATATTTTTCTTTTATTTAATTTCTCAAATCAACACAAATTCAAAATAAATAGGAAACAGTTTACAAAATTCTCCAAACATTTTGTGCCACTGTTATTTAATATATATAAGCTGGGAGAAACATCAAAGTTGGTTTTCAAGAAATTTAACTATTTTTATTTGTTTTATTTGTTTAAATATGCATTAATTCGTGAAAAATTATTAAAGAGTAGGTAAAATTCACTAAACTTTTTATTTATGATTTATATGTAATATACGATATTATGATGAAGTTTCATAATTTTTGGAGAAGTGTTGCTATTTTTCATCAATTTAATCCCTTAAACATTCATTAAATTGCGAAAAATAAGAAATTGTCTTGGAAAAATCTGGAAAATATTTCATTGAGTCCCTATGATTTCCATAAGGTTCGAAAATTATTAAGTATGGCTTTGGAAATACATAACTTTATTTTTCAATTTATTTCTCTTCAAAAAAAAATTGAAATCAATTGAAAAAAATTATAGA